ACAACCCTGGCAAAGGGAGTGACGCATTTCAGTTAACCTGGGATGCAGCAGTCACCTTTAACTGACCTAGCTCCATCCCTGCACACACATCCTGCCTAGGGCTGCCAGTTCAATCCTGGAGGGCTGGCAACCCTGTGACACTGCTTAGTGATGTGTGCAAACCTGCAGCAGCCCAAACCTGCCTCCAAGCCAGCAATGCTGGGGGAGGGCCCTGCAGGCTTCTCAGAGGTACTTCTCATTTTAAAAATCACCCGAGCACTCCCTTTGTATTTACTGCTAACCTCAGTAGACGCTTGACCCAGAAACCCATTTCATTACTGAATGCCCCCCACCCCCGGTTTTGTTATTGTAGGGTTGTTCGTGAGGGCTGGGCTAGACACACTGGTTTGCTATTGGAGGCCTACTTGTGACCCCTAGCTTTAGGGCACTTGTTTGGGTTTCATAGGGCAGCCCACCAGCCACAGGCTACCCCTACTCTGGCTTGTTATTGTGGGGTGACTTGCGAGTGCTGAGCTGGAAACATGGGTTTGTTATTGTACGGTTGCTTGGGGCAGCTGCTCTACAATTGAAATCATCATTGGAAAACAAAGGCCTGTAGGGAAAGTTACTGCTTCTCCTTAGCCTACCGGCAAGGATCCCCACAGGATGGGGTGGGGCCTGCTTTCAGGGGGCTGGCCCTACATGAGGTTACATCGGGCCTGAGGTACAATTACACCCCCAGAGCGCTGCCAGCCCTTCTGCTCCAAACCAGGGGGAGCTGCTCCCTCCCTCAGCCAGAGCCCCCAGCCTGCCCTGTGGCCCCAGCGCTGTAACCCTCTTCCCCCCACCCCTGCCTGGGGGCACGGAGAGGGGACCGGTGTCACCCCCTCCCAGCCAGGCCCCGCGCCTGAACCAAGCCCGGAGACCTCACCCGCAGGAGCCGTGCTGAGGAGACAGTCCTGCTGCGTGGCTGGGGTCACCACTAGGGGGCTCTCCACCCAGGCCTGGCCCTGCCCTGAGTGCTCCCTGCCAACCCGGTACCAGGGCCCAGACCAGGCCCCTCCACCCGACAGCATCAATCCAGGCAGAGCCTCTCCAGAACAGGCTTCCCAGAGCTCAGCACCAGCAGCGTCGCTGCCACCCTCACAGAGAACAGCGAGCACCCCATGCCTGATGCCTGTCCTCCAGCTCAAAATGGTCCTCCATGCTTTCCAAACAGTCCCTTGACTTTTCTCCCGCTGCTCCTCCCTGATGCCCTCAGCTCTCTAACCCCCGTCCTCCTCCTCTATGTCCCTTCATGCAGAATAAGCCACGCAGTGCGAGAGCCTTTGCCACCGCGATTCCTGCCATCTACAGCAGCCTCCCTCTATCTCTCTGCATCATCCTCTCCCACATCTCATCAGTCACACCCACTAAAGCTAGTCAGAAAAGGGGGGAACACACATTTTTAAAAAATGTACAAATTAATTCACCTATTTTTCTTCAGCAGGGTTCAAAATAGGTCAATTTTTTAAAAGTGTTTTGCTAATTTTTTAGTTTAGGGAAAAATTATATTAAAAAATTTACAAAAAAATAGGGAGGGGGGGAGGGAGAAAAGAAGGAAAACCAAGAAATAAAACTCAACCACCAACAAATTTAGATAGAAAAGTCAAAAACAGACAATTTTCTGAAGAAAAAAAAAAAGGTTTATTTAAAAAACAAGGCTGTTTTTCTATGAAAAAATCACTTCATTCAAAAAATGTCCTTTAGTTGTAGACAGTATCAACCAGCCATTGCCTTCTTACATCTCTCATTGTGTTACACTGCTGCAGTTTAATGGTGGAAGGTTTTGGGGGACATGGTTTGTATGACAGACATTGCTCAGAATACAATGGTGGTGGTTTGAGCAGACTGGTGTGAGGATACTGAGATGTGCTGAAGCAGGCTGGGGCATGGGTCTTTTCAATTGAAACTACAATCCCAATTACAGGAGTTTGGTGGCTCTGTGTAGCTTGTACAAAATACACCCAAGTTGGTGTGGTCTGCTCAAGACAGGCCCCAGGCTGGCACAAGAAGAAGGCTACCAAGCAGCAGAGAGTGGTCTGGAAAGCATTACTATCTCTCTGTTGATATACTGTCCTTACTTTAAGCAGACAGAAGACACAAAACTAGGAGCCTGCCTTCACCCCATATTGCTGTCCAGGCTGTTTGGATCCCGGCTTTTGGTTCAACACTTTATAAAAACAGGGGCCATCTGCAAAATACAGTTTTAACACCCCCCCCCCCCCCCCCAACTGCCAGGTGACAGGTACTAAAGTTTATGAGCAGGACCTAGCTCAGGTTGGAAGTAGAGTCCAATCTTGCATGCTCCAGCCAGCCACACCCTTATCATTCCCTTATGATCTACAAGTTTAAATTCAGAGGGCTGGGCCATTGCCTAGAGGTAGAAATTAATCGATATTCTTAACTGTGCAAAATAATTTCCAATAGCAGGAAGTTCACAGTCAGAGGGTGGAGTACAGCGATGCAGAGCTTTTTACCCATTCAGACCCTGTGCAGGCTGGTGCACATCAGACATCCTCCATTGCCGTCTGGCAGGCATTTGGTTAGGTTGCCTGCCTCTCACTGCATGGAGCCACATGACAAAGAAAAGGGGCTCAGACCAGCAGCTGCCTTGTATACCAGGCCCATATTGATTTCAATGGCAATTACTCAGAGCAGCAGCAGGGCTAGATCCAAAGCTAGTAGATCAGGACTCTGTAGCCTGTATCCAAAGTGGTACAAGTATTGGGATGAAGTCTCCACAGCAGCCCTCTCTTGGTTCTGGGTCAATCCGCCACTGTGTCCACAGGACTCTCTCCAACTCCCATATTTATAACCTTTTCCCTTGGCTCATCTCTCAGAGGGTGAACATGTGGAACCTGCAAGACTGCCTACACTTAATGGAAAGAGCATGTCCAGTAACTCCAACACCCCTTGGTCAGATCTCTCTGGGTCCTTTTAGCTAAGCTGCCCCCCTATCCGGCTGGCTAGCTGGCTGCAGCTAGAGAGGCAGTGTAGCCCAGTAGATTGAACACTGGAATAAGACTCAGGAAACCTGGGTTCTATGCCCAGCACTACCCCTGGCAGGCTGACCTCGCCTCCCTGTGCCTCAGCTTCTCCAGCTGTAAAAAGGGGATGCTATGGACCTCTTTGAAAGTGCTGGAGAGCTGATAAGAGCTAGGGATTATAAAACCAGTGACTCCTCACCACTGCTTCTCTCCCTTTCTTTGCACCTAAAAGCTCAAATACTGCACTATAAACATGTGGATCACCCCCCCCCCCCAATAAAAACCCTGCAAAAGGCCTGTTACGATTAACTTAGTTATCTCAGTTCCATTTGCCACGTCAATGAGCAGTCGGTGTTGCAACTAACGAGCAGAAGTATAGCAAAAGAGCAGGGTGGGGCCCTGAGAGTGGACTAACACAGTGGGACTATGGAGAAGGATGGCCCACTGCAGGTCTTGGACTGAAACCCTGAATCAAGGCCCTGCTTTGCTAGGCTGCCTGTGGGATCTTGGGCCAGTCACTTGGTATCTCTGGGCTAGAGCCACACAGGAACCTAGGCCATGGGCCAGCTCTGACTTTTTTGCCACCCACCCCAAGCAAAAAAAAAAAAAAAACCCCAGGGTGCAGGGCGGTCAGACCTGGAGGCAAAGCAAAAAAAAAAAAAATAGGGCAGCCGTGCCGCCCTAGGATTGGACGGAATGCCGCCCCTTAGACTCTGCCGCCCCAAGCACAAGCTTGCTTGGCTGGTGCCTGGAGCCAGCCCTGTCTAGGCCTGGCCCACGCTTAAAACTTATGGACCCAGCTACGTTGCCCTGGGCTGCGAAACACCCAGCGCAGACACAGCTAGGGTGATGGAAGAATTCTTCCACCAACCTCGATACAGCCTCTCAGAGAGGTGGAATAAGTACAGCCACAGACCGCCCCCTGGCCTCAATGTAGGAAGTGTCTATGCTAGAGGGCTACAGCTGCAGTGCCGCGGCTGTGCTGCCGCAGCCACTGTCGCATAGACAAGACCTAATGATTGCTTTAGGTGCCTCAAGCCAACATTTAGGCACCTCTGAGATCCCCAACCCTGCTGCTCAGATGCCATCTAATCCTGTTGGCACCGCAGTGTCTGAAAACAGGCACCTGAAACACTGCTCCAGCCCTGCCAGCACCAAGCAGGAGGGGACAGACCATGCAGGAGGCCAGCTGTGAAAGTTGACTTTACTAAAATACAGTAAAAATCACAGTCATTTACAGGCCCCAGCCCCTGTGCGGAGGGGAGCTCAGGAGCAGGGGGCTAGCTTTTCCCAGGAGGCCCCACAACCTGGCTGCAACGGACGGTGCGGATTCCCCAGCCTGCAAAGCAAGCAGCAAAGGGACCCTCCCTCTGAGAGCAGCACCTGCCGCAAGCTCCAAGGTGCCCAGCCTGCTGGAGGAGCCCCAGCTCAGGGCCTGGGTCAGCTCACCCTGGGTCCCGCTTTTACCCATACCCAGAGCCCCAAGATGTTCGCCTGCACCAGGCACAGCCTCCCCTCCCCTGACCTGGGCAGAGCTGCTGACACTTAACAGGCCATTCGGCTTCTCTGGGGACCTTTGGCTGCATCCATGATCTGCTGCAGCCACGAGGATTCTTCCCTTTCCTCATCTGCCTACCCGGAGGCTCTGCCAGGAGAGACCAGGTGGGGGATATCCACTGCCCCCTCCCACCCATGACCTGTTGGCATTGGAGCGGGTGAAGCAGACAAAGAACGATCCCGCAGCCTCGCCTTGGATGGGGTCCTGGAGGATGGGGGAAGAGGCTGGTTTTGTTTTTAAATAGAGGGGATAAATGGTAATGGGAGTGTCCCCAGAGCATTGATAGAGATGAAGGTCACGGCCGGCCAGATGATGGTGGCTTCTGTTCAGTTTGGCCTGTCCTGGAGAAGGCCCGAGGTACAGCCTAGAAAGCAGGTCTCCCGAGCCAAGGGGCAGCTCCAATCCTGGAGGGAGGGCAGAGCCCGACAGCCTCGTCACTCCCGTCGCACCTTCTTGGTTTTCTTCTCTGATTTTGTGGCAGCATCATGAGCTTTCCTCTTCTCGGCAAGTCTGGTCGCCTGCGGGGGGGAGAAGCCACCCAGATTAACCCCTGTACACGGTTGACAGTTCTTCCCCCTGCCTGTTACAAGTCATGCTAGAGCCAGACTCGAACCCCCTCCAACACTGGAGGTGATCATACCCCGATCTCAGCCTCTGGGCCAGGCCCACCCACCCCTAGCTCTGGGCCTGTTGCTGGATCAGGCCAGTTAGTTACAGGCCAGTTAGTCACTCACTAGCTCTAGCTTTTTTTTTTTTCGGGGGGGCGGGGGGCGGGGGAGAGAGATACTGACTCATGGTACACATCACTGCTATGGACACAGGCCCCCTGGGACACCCCAGGACCAGTCAGGGACCTAACCTCGCTGACTCCCAGGCCAGGGCTCTGCACCAGGCTTAGACTTCCACCCACCCTGGCAGGCAGCGAAAACTGTGGGGGGGTGGGAGGGAGGAGGAGGGACTCAGCTGCTCTGGGGGGCGGAGAGGGCGGAAGTGCCTCCAGTAGCAAAAGGCTCAGTCTTGCTCCCATTTATTCAATGTCAGCAAGCCCCAGGTGAAAGCTCCAAGGGCCAAGTCCAGAGGCGAGGTACGGGGTGGGTGTACATTACAGATCAAGTGGGCCAGGGGAGGTGTTGTAGAAAAAGCCCCCCTCCCCAAGACGTTTACACCATCATTTCCATCACTGCTGAACCCAGGCCCAAGTCTCTGAATGCACAATCCTCCCTCAGTGGCTTCTCCTGTTCTGTATACACCATAGAGAGGCAGCATTGCCTATTAGACTGAGCATAGGGCTGGGAGTCAGCAACACTGTTCAAATCACCGTGGAGGCTCCAACCCTCCCTGGTACACTGAGCAAGTCACTGGCTCTGTGCCTCAGTTTCCCCATTTGTTAAGCAGCACTCCCCACTCTCCCAGTGCTGTGTCATTTCCATCCAGTTAGAACTCGCTGCAGCCTGGCTCGGTTAGGGTAACCCACCTCTCTTCACCAGTGTGCACTTTGTGGTGGGAGAGGGCTGAGTGTTAAGGCCTACAGTCCTGCTCTAGTGACCGGGGGGTTCAGCCCAAGCTGGGGAGGAAGTGCCGGCCACAATACCTCTCGGACTTTGCGCTTCTTCCCAAACATGATTTTCTGGTAGAGGTACTTCTCCCTCTTCTTCATCATCATGATGGCTAGACGCTTCTCCTCGCTCTGCTCCTCCTGGGCTGATCGCTGCTTGTCCTCCAGCCGCACCGTGCCCACCGACACCCTCACTGGCAGTTTCTGGGGAGGGCACAAGAGAGCCAGTTACCTCAGAAGCCCCTGCTGCACCCACTGCAAGGGACTCCACCCCCAGCCCTGCAGACAGCGCTGCCCATTTCCCAGCAGGGTGGCCCTATCCTGAGGGGACCCCACTGCCGAGCCTGGAGCAGCTGGGGGAGCGTGAGCTAGAACTGCATGCAGGTAAGGCGGAGTGCTGAGCTAGCACCCCACTAACGAGGTGCCATTAATGTAATGCCCTGCTACAGACTAGGGACCGAATGGCTAGGCAGCAGTTCTGCAGAAAAGGACCTAGGAGTTACAGTGGATGAGAAGCTGGATATGAGTCAACTGTGTGCCCTTGTTGCCAAGAAGGCTAACGGCATTTTGGGCTGTATAAGGAGGAGCATTGCCAGCAGATGGAGGGACGTGATCATTCCCCTCTATTCGACATTGGTGAGGCCTCATCTGGAGTACTGTGTCCAGTTTTGGGCCCCACACTACAAGAAGGATGTGGAAAAATTGGAAAGAGTTCAGTGGAGGGCAACAAAAATGATTAGGGGGCTGGAGCACATGACTTATGAGGAGAGGCTGAGGGAACTGGGATTGTTTAGTCTGCAGAAGAGAAGAATGAGGGGGGATTTGATAGCTGCTTTCAACTACCTGAAAGGGGGTTCCAAAGAGGATGGATCTAGACTATTCTCAGTGGTACCTGATGACAGAACAAGGAGTAATGGTCTCAAGTTGCAGTTGGGGAGGTTTAGGTTGGATATTAGGAAAAACTTTTTCACTAGGAGGGTGGTGAAGCACTGGAATGGGTTACCTAGGGAGGTGGTGGAATCTCCTTCCTTAGAGGTTTTTAAGGTCAGGCTTGACAAAGCCCTGGCTGGGATGATTTAGTTGGGAATTGGTCCTGCTTTGAGCAGGGGGTTGGACTAGATGACCTCCTGAGGTCCCTTCCAACCCTGATATTCTATGATTCTACGAATGGCAGAGAATGCACCAAGGTCTCTCCTGGATGTGCTCAGAGCTACCACCCACAGGAATTAAGGCAGAGACTGTCATGGGAAAGAGGGCATGTGCCCAGCACCACCAGCAGCAGAAACTTTAGCTGTGCTCCCTCAGCACTGCACTAACAGGTTTTTGCAATTCGTTTCCTTACTTTTTCTAAAAAAAAGTAGAGAAGAAAGCACGGCACTGTCTGGCTTGGGGGAACTTTCAAGGTTCCTCAGACAATGTGTACACACGTCCCTAGAACACATTTGTCCAACATACCAGGGATTGAACCAGGGACCTCCAGAGTCAAAAGCATGAGCAGCTACTGCTTGAGCCAATGTTCCCTAGCTGGGGCTGTGCAGACTCCTGTCCTCTGTGGACTGGCACAGAGGGGGACCTGTCCCCTCCAACCTCCCATGAGTACACACAGCGTCTTGACTACGCACTTGCGCGTGTAGCAATGGGTTTTGCTGTGCATAATCACTATGCAGATTTCAGTGGGGCTGGAGAAGAGTGGTCTGGATTTAAGGGCAGGTGCTAGCCCTGGATAAAGACTGGCCAGACCAGGCCCAGACCCCAGCACATTCTGCAGGAGCCCCATCAAAGATTAAGGAGTGAATTTATTTAAAAAACAAAAACAAAAAAAATCAACCTCAAGCTCCAAGTCCTTTGCCCAGCCCCTGCTCTCTCAGAAAGGGACATCACCTGCAGAGACTGAGTCAAAGGAGAGTGTTCTGCACAGCTGAGCAGGGGGCTCAGAACAGAAACCATACGGCAACCTGCCTCCAGCAGGTGCTACCCAGTGGAGGGCTAAGACGGGGAGGCACGGAGTGTGACCAGAGCTGCACCACAATGGGGATGTCCCCTTCAGGGCACGCTGGCTCCATAGCTATGCACGGTACCTTTCCCTGGGATCGCTGCTCTTCCAGCTTCTTCAGTTTCCCTTCATCTTCCTTTTCAGAGTGCTCTTCTCCTTCTGAGCCTTCATCATCATCTTCATCACTGTCATCCTCCTCCTCCTCTCCGCTCTCTTCTGCTAGAGAAGGCAAGAGAGCAGAGTTACCATTCAGGATTCTGACCCTAATCAGAGAATGAAGAACCAGCCTGGATGGGCTGGCAGACAGCCCGGGTGCATGTTTCCCAGGTCTGTGCTCCTAAAGGACCAGTTGGTAAACTGGGACGGGGAGGCAAAAGGAGGGAGGGACCACCACCCAGGGGGAGGTGAAGGATGCCTAAGGTGGGAAAGCTGGCCGGATTCTAGGAACTTGGCCTCCCCATTACCTGGGTTCTCGCCCCTCTGCAGGGCCAGCAGCTTCAGCTTCTCAGGCGGGATGTAGTCCCCATCCTTCTCCGAAACGAAGGGCGAGAGGTGCGGGGGCAGCAGCACGCCAGGGAAATAATCAGCCACCGGGAGGCACATCTTGGCATTGACCGAGTCGAACACCCACTGAGGCTGGAGGTAATACCTAGGAGGGTGGGGAGAGGGCTGGAGTCAGCGAGAGGAGTGGAGGAGAGGGAAGAGCCAAGAGGAGGTGGATGTGAGTGGGTGACACCCCCCTCAGCAGGGTCCCTAGAACATGGAGCAAGCCACTTGCACACCAGAAGGGGACTGGGGCAGACACCTCACAGGGGCCTGGTTCAAAGTGCACTGAAGTCAGCCGACAGATGCCCAGGGGCAGCAGGACAGAAACACTGAGGACAAAGAGCTGGGCTGGATGGCTCCAGAGCAGGACAGTCAGTTGGTCTCTCCTGCCACTTGTGCAGAGGATCAGATCTCACCCAGGCAAAGGCACAGAGCTCACCTGCCTATCACCTGTTTCTCCAGGCTGGGTCGGTCGACAATCTGGTGGGTGATGGTTGGGTCCCTCACATCGTAGGTGGCACCGATGCACACGGACTTATCCCAAGACACTCTGCCTCCAAAACACCTGCCCAATGAGAAACACCCGTGAATCAGGCTGGGCAGGGAGGGCCCAGCATGAGCTGAGGGGCAGGGAACAGCGTCCCATGCGGGGGACACAGGGGCCTCACCGTTTGCAGTGGAAACTTGCAGGGACACGGTGACATCCCATGAGGCTAAGACTGGATAAGCCTGGATTGCCAAGAGGAGCAGAAATGCAGATCCCCTCCCTCAGCCTTGTCAAGGGGCCCACAGCACCTTCTCACAGCCACAGCCGGGCTTCAAGGCTGCTCCGGGGACCCCGTTCACCCCAGCCTCGCTGGGTAGCTTTCATGGGCAGGGCTCCCTGGAGCATCACACCTGGGTTAATCCTGCTCTCATGGCTAGAAGGTCTCCAGACGGCTCATGGGCTTCCTCCATCACTAATATTGCCTTTGCTTCCCACTTACTCCTGGACTTGGCACCCACCCAGTTCAGTCCCTTGGGGAGTCTGGTCTGCATCCTCCCTCCCCGGCTTGCCCTGAGGGAGGAAGAGTGTGATCGGCACATACCGGATGATGAAGGCTATGGGCTCCCGAGGCACCTCTCTGTTCAGGAAGAACCGCAGCCCCTCAAACAGCTTCTTCTGCTTCTCTACTGCCTCCTGCTCCTTCTTCCTCGCCTCCTCCTGCTCCGCACTCTCCTGGACAGAGCAAGGTGCTGTGAGAGGCTCCTCTGCCATGCCCTCCCCTCCCCACATGCCAACCCTAGACAAGGAAAGGGACAGCTGGGAGCCCCCTCCCTCGTGGCTGTCCCTGCCCTGCCAGCCTCCTTCGAGGTGTGGGGGGACTTGGAGCAGTGATAAATTCAATCTGCTGAGCTCTTACCCCGTCCACGGGGAACTCATCCACCTGCACTTCATCCTCTGGGTTCGGCGCTACCACTCGGGCTAGGCTGGCACTCAGAGCCGACAGCTTCTGCAGTGGGAAAGACCAGCAACGCGTCTCACACAGCTCCTCGTATGGGGGAGGCTGCTCGGAAAGGTAGTTAAGATCTCAGGGCAGGACCCAGGCTGTAGGTCCTATGGGGGTCCTCTTTCTTATCCCACCTCCAGCTGCAGCCAATACCCAAGGGCTCAAAAGAAGCCTCATAATGCACCTGGTCCGTTGCATGGCACCAGGGAATGGCTCCCCTCTAGCCCCTGCGTCAGAGATCAAGGTCCCTTTTATTTGCATGGCTACAAACAATACCGAGTGCATCAGGGAGAGGGGCCCAGCTCCCCAGCCAGGGCAGCCAAGAATGGCAGGGTCTGCGCCCCACCCCTGGGCCAGCTGGGGAGTGTCCAGCTATGCAGGAGCCCCCAGGGAGGGGCAGGGTCCATGCTTGGGGTGATATGTGGCTCAGGGCCCATTAAACAGCCCCAGGGTGTCATATAGGGTCCACATGCCAGGCAGGGCCTCTCACCTCCATGTAGCTTTCTGAGTCCATGGCATACGCCTGCCCCTCCTCCGACTTCCGCTCTGCCTCAGCCTGGCCTTCAATCTACAGAGGGGAGAAGGCAGGCCAGAGTCTGGCATGATCCTGCTGCTCCCTTCCCCAACCCCACAGGCAGTCACCACCCTTCCAGCAGGATCCGACCCTGGTGTGCTTGCCCACAGCACTCCCGCCCCACCAGTAGGATCACCCAACATTAAGCACCCAGGCAAGGGAAGAGCCTGGATCACACTGCGGTCCCCCAGCCCTGATGCAACAGTCACCTCTCCCCTTGGTACCAGGGGCCTGGGCTCGTAAACCCTGGCGGTGCCCCCTGTCCCTCACCTTGGGGGGGTAGTGCAGGTTGAGGGACTGGTAGAGGCGGAAGTTCACAAAGCCCAGCAGTGTGGTGTAGAACTCCGTGAAGGTTGCCATGACCCTGTAGTCCACGTCCGTCGGGTGCTGGAAGAGACGGTGGGAGGTCAACCAGGGGCATCAACAGAGCTGGGGGGGGGGGGGAGGGGGGAAGCAGTGATAACCAGCACCTCCCCCACCCCACACACAGGGGCCCAGGCAAGGTCCATTCTTGCCCGACCAGCTTGGGGTGGGGGAAGGAGAGTTCAGCTCTCTAAAGGGGAGGCCGCAGGACACCTGGGTTCTCTTTTCAGGTCTGCCATTGACTCACTGCAAGATCTTGGGCTGGGAAAGTCTCTGCCTTTCTGTGTCCCTCAGCAGTGGCACTGGAACACTTTTTACAGTGGGGGTGCTGAAAGCTAGTGGTCCCCAATTACCTTGCTCCCCCCCTTATCCCTGTCTGCACCCCCCAGAGCTGGGGCCAAGAGTGGCTCTGGCTCTGGGAGAGGAGGATGTGGACAGGGGTAAGGGGGGCCTGGCTAGGACCATAGCTGGGGGCGGGAGCAGAGCCCCAGGCACGGGTCCTGCAGCTGGGACCAGGCTCATAGCCAGGCGCGGAGCTGATGGCAGATGGGACCCCGCACGCAGGGCTGGGAGCAGAGCCAATACTCAGCACCGGGGCCAGGAGCAGAGCCCTTGGACTGGCAACCAGGGCCAGCAGCCAGGCTGGGGCCAGGAGTGGAGCTGGGTGGCGCTCCCTCCCCACCCCTCTTGGGGCTGACCCAGGCCTAAGCTACACGCCCCCCAAATGTTCCTCAGCACCCCCTAGGGAGGCACGCAGCACAGATTGGGAGACCTCCGTTGTAAAGCAACGTCTCACAGTGAAACCTGGGGGTGCTGCAGCACCCCTGCAACCCTAGTTCCCATGCCTAGGTCTCTCCGATAACACCACTGTACCCCCCCCGCCCCGCGCACACAAGCCTGAGAGTTGTCTGCCTGGCAAGTGCTCAGCCCCAAGAGCCGGAGCACAGAGCTGAACCGGGCTGTCTCCCCCACCACCCCTCCGCCTGGGGCTGCTCCCGCTGCAGTGAGCCAGGGAGAGCTCAATCTCCAGGCAACGGCAGGAAGAAACTCACTGACTCTGCATTAGAGACTCATCCCCCTCACCCAGCGTTCACAGGAGCTGCCTCCATGCCCCAGGCCAGCCATTTCCAGGCTGCTCATTAAGCGCTCTCAGCAGGCACTGCAGGGAGGTAACAACCTTGGGAAAAGGTCCTTGAAGGCTGATGGGAGGGAGCCTGCAGAGTCCCCCCCACCCAGTCCCCTAGCAGGACAGGGTGTGATGCGTTAGCATCAGAGTAGGTCCCTACATGGCACTGCCTGCATGTCATCCACACGCTGCCCTGGGAACCCCAGGGCAGCCAAAGAACAAGGGAACCCACACAAGAGAGACCTGCAACTGCAGCCACAAGAGGACGAGAGGTTGGTCTTAAAGCACACGACTAACAGGTAGGACTCCAGTTCAATGACCTGTGGAGACACCTCCAGGGGATCACCAAGAGAAAGTGAAAGGCACAGGAGGAGTGCCTGTAGCCAAAGCCCTGGATTGGGCAGGTTCAGCTAGAGATGGCTGTACAGCATCTCCAGGACTGTCTGCTGCTCAGACTAGAGGGGCCTGGCAGATCTCAGGAGGCCCCAGAGGGACTTAAAGATCAGCAAAGGCCATTGATTTCCAGTCAACTGGAGGAGTACAATACAGATCCCCAGCCAGTAAATGAATAACCCAGCAGAGACATAGCTGGAGGGGGGGAAGAGAGACACCTTCCTGGGGCAGTGGGAACTAGAAATTGAGGTTGCTAGGACATGTCAGAAGGGGAAGAGAGCAGGATCTTCAAAGAGATACTCTAGCTCAGGCAGAAGTTCTGAGCCTGATGCAGGAATCGTGGCGTGAAGTTCTCCGGCCTGTGTCATACAGCAGGTCAGACTACATGATCATAGTGATCCTTTCTGACTTTCACTCTATGAATCTATAACTAGAGCAAAACCAGAGGGATGACCTAGTGGCCAGTGTTCTACCTTGGTCTTGGGAAGACCCGAGTTCGATTCCTGCTCTGCAACAAACATCCTGTAACTTAAGGCAAGTCACTTAGTCTCTGTGCCTCCACTGCCCACCTGTACAATGAGGATGAGAGCCCTCTCGGCAGCGCTGTGGGACTCAGATGCCATGGTAACAGGGGGCCAGATAAGTATGGAGAGACACAGCCAGTGGCAAAGTGAAATGCTGACGAGCAGGGGACAGCAGGGGCCATTCAGCCTTAACTCTGCCCCCTTGTGCATGTGCATCAAAAGTCCGTGACAACATGATCACCCCATTGTCACTGCAGGATCCTGCTCTGTTCGCTGCCCATTGCACCCTCATATCACATCTAACCTGCACAGCAAAGGACAGTCCTGTTCGTAGCACATCATAGCCTTCATATAAAGGAGATTTTCCAGAAGATGACATTTGCAGTCTAACAGCCTGGCTCCCCTCCTGAAGCCCAGACACTAGCATCCCCATCCCCAGCTGCTCTCCAAGTCCCAGCTCCAGCACGACTGAACTGGAAACAAATCCCAGCTTCTGTGTCAAGATGATCACAACAGACTCCCCCCACCTTCACTGGCAGGGGGCAGTCAGAGAGCAGCAAAGGATCCCCCACACTGCCCTGAGACAGCTCTGACCTCTACAGAGCAGTGCAGTCTGCCTGGCCTGTGTGGAGACAATTAGCAGCTAATGAGGGACGCTGGCCCCAGGACAAGGGCTGACACCCCACCTCCGCTTCCCAATGCGCTGATGGGACCAGCTTTGAGTCTCCACCAACCAGAGCTGTCTGGGAGCTGATGAGCTCGCTAGGGAAGGCTCCGTTCCTCCTTCCATCCCACTCGCCACCCAGCCCCAGTTAATCTTTAATTACTTCTCTGAACTTTAATAAAGTTAATTATTTTCAGCCCAAGAGGAGAACAATGAGCCAGCACCAGGGCTGCTGACTAGCGCATGCAAGGTGGTGACTCTGACCCAGAGGCAGGGGTGCCCCAGAGGGGCAGGGGAGAGGCTGTTTCAGACGGTTCCCTGGGCATCAGGCCCCAGGATGTCCTGGCCACCGTGCGCCATGCTGCAATGCAGGCCCTGGGGGGCAGCTCAGCTACAGCAGCTTCAAGGAGCCATTCTGCCCACTCCTGGGACACCCCCCCCACATACTGATGGAGGGATACTAGAGCCCCCCCATCTCATTCACAGGCCTTAGGGAGGTTGGGAGATGGACAGAGACACAGGAGCAGAGCGGACGGTACTCACATCGTGGGCAAAGGCATATGGAGCAATCCAGGTGATGGGCTGCCCCAGCACCTCGGCCTGGTAATAGATCCCTTTGATAGACAGGAACACCTGGCGGGAGAGCAAAGGGAGAGGAGCTAGAGAAGGGGCGGGGGGGAAGCGGGGGCACGGCCGCTGGCAGGAAAGGAGACAGCCTTGCTAGCACACTGTGAATCCCACATGCATTCAGGCCCCTACCACCCTCCAGCAGCGTAAGCAAGGCTCTCAGATCTGTACTAGGCAGGAGACTGACATCCGTTAACCCCTCGCTATCCGGGGAGTGAATTTTTCCAGAGCACAAGCTGACAACAGCATAGTGTTGCCCTGCTGCAGAAGGCCTCTCGCCCACTTCTCCAAGGGAACTCTCAGGGCAAGCATTAGTTGGTGACTAGATGCTCTGGAACCAAAGACATCTCTTAGCCCAACTGCCCAGCCAGCCACAAAAGGGCGCCTCTTGCCGATGCCTTCACCGTGCTACCCAGGTGGGCGAAGGGCCTGTGCTAGCAGGGTACTCTCACCTTGCGCAAGGAGCGGGAGGCAATGACATAGTTGAGGAACTCCACGGTGAGCCGGCGGCACAACTGGATGGTCTGTACATGGCACTTGCCAGTGCGCGGGAAGGTGGCAAAGAGGAAGCACATGGACAGCGTATCATCCAGGTCCCGCAGGGCATCGATGAAGGTCGGGTACCTGCAGCCGCCACAGGAGAGAATCCCGGTGAGAGTAGGAGGGGGCTCCGAATAGCAGCATCCTCCCACACGGCTAACAAGGCGGCACTCGCACCCAGCCCAGGAGTGGCCAAAAACTGGGGCCTTCCAAAAGTTGCTGGGTGGCCTCTGTGAGCCAAGTTTGGGGCCACCTCAGACCAGTTCTAGAGAGCAGGCTTCTTCATCCCTGAGCGCCTCACTACCACAGCTGGCACCAGATGCCAACAAAGCCATGTGATCTGCAGAGACACTGCTCCCCCTAGTGGGGGGGTCAGAGTCCAGACCCACTCTGGTGCCGTTCAGGCAGTAGTGAACAACAAGCCCCCCCAGGCACACCTACACTTGTGGCAAAGAGGAAACACACAGTAGGGAGGAATGAGATGGAGACAGCCTGGGAAGCTCACTAGTGCAATAACAAATCATGTTCCCTCTGCCTGACTTGTACAAACACTTGTGGCTCCCTGGCTCGTATGCTGTGTGTGTTTGCATTGTGTACAATGGACCTTTCACCAACCCATGCCACAGGCATTAGCTTGTGAACACTCACTCGGGTCTGTTTATGGTACCACCACATCTACTATGGACTCCAGTGCCCAGCTGGTCTGCACTGCTACCAGTGTTACTGTGACTGTCCGTACCCTGATATCTTTACAATCAGCAGGAGGAGAGAGACAGAGTCTCAAAGGTATTTAGGCACCTAGGGCAGTTTTCAAAAGTAGGCACCTTGCTGCATCGTTCGGTGCCAATGACCTTTGAAAATCTGCCCAGTAGCGCTATCAGACAACATGGTGCTTTACACACACAAAACAAGCCCTGCAACAAAGCTCTTACCAAGAGAGATGGGAGGCCACAAGGGGTTGGGCTAGGCCGCTGATCTGGGAGTCATGAGACCTAAGTTCTACTCCTGGCTCTGCCGTGCATCTTCCATTCTCTGGCTGTTTCCCCTCCCAGCCAGTCTTGTCTATGTAGACGGTCAGCTCTCCATCTCTTACTAGGTGTTTGTACAGCACCTAGCACAATGGGGTCCTGACCTCAGCTGAGGCCTCCAAGCACCACCAGAACACAGATCAGCTCTGCTGATAACGGCACGTTGGTGGGTGCGTCCTTCATGTTTCACTGCAGTCACCATGTGACTGGGCAGATCATCTGCATGGTTCACACTCCTCTATGAGTGGCTCTGAGTATCATCTTTGAAAACACCACTCAGGGAGAGAAGGGGAGCCCATGACATCCTGCTAGGTATCACACAGCCCCCTGGGCCCTGGAACTTGTACTAAGGCTGCACAGGCTCAACCCTGCTTTGCCCCATTGTCTCTTCAACTCATAAGCAGCAGTTTATAAACGTTTTAAAGGCAACGATGCAACTCACAGGAACAGCAAATTATCCCACTGTGTAGAAAAGATAGGAAATATGGCAAGAGACCACCCTGGCTTAACCAGGAGAATCTTCAATGATCTAAAACTCAAAAAAAGAGTCCTACAAAAAGTGGAAACTCAGTCAAATTACAAAGGATGAATATAAACAAATAATACAAGTATGTAGGGACAAAATTAGAAAAGCCAAGGCACAAAACGAGATCAAACTAGCTAGGGACATAAAAGGAAACAAGAAAACATTCTACAAATACATTAGAAGCAAGAGGAAGACCAAGGACAGATTAGGCCCATTACTCAATGAGGGGGGAAAACAATAACAGAAAATGTGGAAATGGCAGAGGTGCTTAATGACTTCTTTGTTTCGGTTTTCACCAAGAAGGTTGGTGGCGATTGGACGTCTAACATAGTGAATGCCAGTGAAAATGAGGTAGGATCAGAGTCTAAAATAGGGAAAGAACAAGTCAAAAATTACTTAGACAAGTTAGATGTCTTCAAATCACCAGGGCCTGATGAAATGCATCCTAGAATATTCAAGGAGCTGACTGAGGAGATATCTGAGTCATTAACAATTATCTTTGAAGTCATGGAAGATGGGAAACATTTCAGAAGACTGGAAAAGGGCAAATATAGTGCCCACCTATAAAAAGGGAAATAAGGACAACTCGGTGGAATTACAGACCAGCCAGCTTAACTTCTGTACCCAGAAAGATAATGGAGCAAATAATTAAGCAATCAATTTGCAAACACCTAGAAGATAATAAGGTGGCAATTAACAGTCAACATGGATTTGTCAAGAACAAATCGTGTCAAACCAACCTGATAGCTTTCTTTGACAGGGTAACAAGCCTTGTGGATGGGGGGAAGCGGTAGATGTGGTATATCTTGACCTTCGTAAGACTTTTGATACTGTCTCGCACCACCTTCTCATAAACAAACTAGGGAAATACAACCTAGATGGAGCTACTACAAGGTGGGTGCATAACTGGTTGGAAAATCGTTCCCAGAGAGTAGTTATCAGTGGTTCACAGTCATGCTGGAAGGGCATAACGAGTGGGGTCCTGCAGGGATCAGTTTTGGGTCCGGTTCTGTTCAATATCTTCATCAATGATTTAGATAATGGCATAGAGAGTACACCTATAAAGTTTGCGGACGATACCAAGCTGCAAGTGCTTTGGACGATAGGATTAAAATTCAAAATGATATGGACAAACTGGAGAAATGGTCTGAAGTAAATAGGATGAAATTCAATAAGGACAAATGCAAAGTACTCCACTTAGGAAGGAACAATCAGTTGCACACATACAAAATAGGAAATGACTGCCTAGGAAGGAGTACTGCGGAAAGGGATCTGGGGGTCATAGTGGATCACAAATACGAGTCAACAGTGTAACGCTGTTGCAAAAAAAAAAAAAAAAAAAAAAACCATGTAAACATTCTGGGATGTATTAGCAGGTGTGTTGTAAGCAAGACACAAGAAGTAATTCTTCCGCTCTACTCTGCGCTGATTAAGCCTCAAATGGAGTATTGTGTCCAGTTCTGGGCACCACATTTCAGGAAAGATGTGGACAAATTGGAGAAAGTCCAGAGAAGAGCAACAAAAATGATTAAAGGTCTAGAAAACATGACCTATGAGGGAAGAGTGAAAAAACTGGGTTTGTTTAGTCTGGAGAAGAGAAGACTGAGAGGGGACATGATAACAGTTTTCAAGTACATAGAAGTTGTTACAAGAAGGAGAGAAAAATTGTTCTTCTTAACCTCTGCAGCTAGGACAAGAAGCAATTGGCTTAAATTGCAGGAAGGGAGATTTAGGTTGGACATTAGGAAAAACTTCTTAACTGTCAGGGTGGTTAAGCACTGGAATAAATTGCCTAGGGAGGTTACGGAATCTCCATCATTGGGGGTTGGACAAACACCTATCAGGGATGGTCTAGATAATACTTAGTCCTGCCTTGAGTGCAGGGGACTGGACTAGATGACCTCTCAAGGTCCCTTCCAGTTCTATGATTCTATCTTGGAACAAGTCAGTTACATGAGCTGCAGTCGTGGGATTGGATGCTTGAAAGAGGCTGCCTGAGTCAAGTCCAAGCAGTGTCCCAGGTACAAGCCCTACTGCTCGGGGGCGTGACAGTCCCTGGTCCAGCTGCTTGCTCGGATGGATTCTCACTAATCAGAATAAACCTTCTAAGTTCCAGACAGCCTACATGGTTACCTTATCTGCTATACAGCAACAGGGCTGCTTCACACCATGCTATCGGTGTCCCAGCCCTGGCAGCCTCCGCCTCACCTCTCCTTGATGATGTGGTCAAGCTTGTAGCTGGGCTTGTTATCTTTCAGCCGCTCCACGGTATTCCACTCGCTTTTCCCGTACGCTTTCCGGAGTTTTCGGACAAACACCTGCAGCAGAGACAGAGAGGCCAGAGGGTTGATACAAGGGAATGTGATCATGTGACCACTTCCTGCACCTATCACACTTCAGGTCAAGGCATGCAGCACATTCCCATCACTGCCAAAGGCTCCCTTACAGCACAGTGTATGCAGATTAACAGACCCAACAGGAAAAAGGCCTCAAAACCTGCCTTCTCACAGCACACCACCGTGTCACACAGTGGCAGAGAGGACTAAGGGGACTTGTCTAAGGTCACCCAGAAAGTCAGGAGCAGAGCAGGGGAAAAGAACCCAGGAGTCCTGGCTCCCAGTCCACTACTCTCTTCACTGGATCATGCTGCTCTGCCCTTCAGCTCATAGTAACAAACCAGGCACCTCCACCCACTCAGAGTCAAAGCCCATTATTGCTCTCTAGTGTTGATTTAAGTGCCCCACCGCTAGGGCTGCATCTCTTCACGCGGACCTAAAATCCTAAGCAAAGGTCCCGTGGCATGTTAACAAGCACAGCAACAGACTACTCCCAGATCAGCAGCTTCCCACTCTACCAGGCCACCAGCCTAAGAAGTCACACACAGCAGCTGATGCCTGCCTCCTTTGGTTTCCAAAGCCCAGACTGCCCATGACAAGAGCAGCCCCAAGAGCCATGGCACGTTAGGAACATGCACCACCGAGTGGGAGGTGGACAGCAGCCCATGCAAGGGAGGTCAGGAGCTCCAGAGCCTGTATGTAGAGTGGTGGTAGAGGAATGTCTCTTTCAAATGGAACAGAGCTAATATAAGTTGCAGGGCTCAGCTGGCCCTGGGCCTCCCAGCCTACCTTATACTCCCGGAACTTGTTGACGATGGGCTCATGAAGGAGGAACTTGATGTCTTTGAGGAGGTAAAAGGTCCGGGCAGCAGTGGAGCCTCTGTTCACCTTTTTCTTGTGTTTGGGCTCATGGGGGTAGATCCCCTTCAGGATACACAGACGCCTATAATACAGACACAGAGGAGATCAGAAATCATACAAAGACACTGGGTGGCTCAAGGCATTGGTAACGGGATGCAGAGCCTTTCACCTCCAAGCCACTGCAGGCCAGGCACTGCAGAAGTTTATCAGGTGAAAGCTGTTTGGAGGGCTTTGTTAATTGAATGCCACCAAACTTTATTAATAGAGAGTTAAGGTGGCCTAGTGAGGCCTCGTGCCCTTCCACAAGGTGGACAGTGGGCGGTAAAGAAACCTCTGAAAACCAGGAAATACTCAAGCCCACCCCCTGCATGGGTCTAATGTTTGATTTGGAAAGTGGTTTGGGACATTCCCTGTGACAGACTTTGCAGGATCTGTGCTAAGTCGCAATACACAGCATTGCAGCATACAGAGCAGTAGTACAGTTTGGAACGTGCTACTCAAGGCTACACTCCAAACAATGTAAAGCAGCACTGGGCCCAGCAGTCATTCTCTCATAACTGTTTATAGCAGGATCTGTAAAGCACTGCCTAAGTCATCGTGTGCAGTCTTTCAGAATAAAGATTCAAACCCCTTTTAAGACAGCTGTGCTACTCAAGGCACTTTCCCAAGAATATAATACACCTGTGTCACAGGCTGAAGCTATGTCTATACTAGAGATCTTACAGTGGCACAGCCACAGACATGGACCAGCCATAGAAACGTAAACATCTATGAGCAGATTGCATGGGAGATGCAGGAGAAAGGGTACAACAGGGACCAGCAGCAGTGCCAAGTGAAAGCAAAGAAACTGTGTCAGGCATACCAGAAGGCCAAAAAGGCCAACAATCAATCAGACGCCAAGCCGCAGACCTGAAGAGCTTCATTCTATACTTGACAGAGATACCAACACCCCACAAACCACAGTGGATAACTCCATGGCGCCCGAGTCACAGGACCTTGGCATGAGCAGCCAAGACGAAGAGGAGGTGAAGGAGGACGAGACATGTGGCTGGGGAAGAGGGAGGGTCCAACTATGCCACAAGCCAGGACCTGTTTGAGACTCCACCACAGTCGAGTCAGTCGAGCTTAATGCAAGGGAAGGATCCTCAGGTAGGTGCGTAAATATATTTCCCATTACAGAGATGGCGCCCTCACAGCGGCTACAGCTACCGACTTTTTGTTAAATTACTCGTACTAGGAAGGTAGCAGTACAATGAAGAGAGGTAGCGTCATCTGCTTTTCATTTCCCTGTAGCAGGTGTTCTCAAACTTCATTGCACCACAACCCTCTTCTGACAACAAAAATTACTACATGACCCGAGGAGGGGGAACCGAAGCCCAAGCCCCGCCACCCCAGTTTGAGAACCGCTGCCCTGTAGCATTAGGAAAGGGGGAGGAGAGGCATGTGGAGCTGTTTATTTATGTCCCTCGAATCCTCCTGAGAGATCTCAATAAAATTTTCATGGAGAGACTCTGCAATTCTCTTCCAATGGTTTTTTGAATCTTAACTTTCGCTTTCTGCTGGGACTATACTGACAATGGCACGTCTGTGTGCTGTATCTGTAGCTGCTGACATCGCAGCCTTGAGGGATTTACCCTCTACACGCGGGTGGAGCACCTGAACCAGAGGAGAAAGATGACAACTCAGGATGACATGTTCAGCGAGATCCTACAAGCCAGTGCAGCTATCAGACTGTGAGCACAGGGCCTGGAGGGTGAATATTGCAGACCGCCTGGAGAAGGAAAAAGCAGAGAGGAGAAAGGCCCAGGAGGCCCAGCAGGAAAAGGAGAGAGAGATTCACCAGGACATAATGGGGCTTCTGCAGCAGCAAACACAAATGCTGCAGATTCTGTGGTTCAACTACCACAGGCTCGCCTCCCTTTGCAGTCCATGGAGAATTCCATTACAGAACCTCCTATAGCCCCACCCCCCGTCATTGCAGGTAGCATCAGGGGTCGCATCCCCATCCCTGCCACTCCACATTAAGGACAACGACAGCTTCACATATACAGCAGCCGCGGCTCTCACACATCAGTGTGTGCAACCAAAATGTTCTTTCACCTTGTTATGTTCTGTTCCTTTAATACAGTAAGTTTTTATTGTATTTGCTTTTAAATCACACAGACTTTTTTTGCACTGGTATTGTTACTGAATAAAGTTATATTATTTGGAAAACTAATTCATCTTTATTCGTTCACAGCATATGCTGCAAAGTGCCTAGCAGTTCTGAAAGCACCCACTTGTTACTGTACACAGTGGGACACAACCCATAAGATCAGTGACACACAAATGTACACTATGCACCGCAAAATTAATAGGTGCATTGCCAATGTTATATTCATTGATGTACATCAAGCACCACACAGTTCCTAAGAGGCCCCAAAATAGCAGGGCCAGGGAGAGCACAGTACACCACAACACATTACTGTGGCTCACTGTTAAAGTGCTACTCCTGGGGGAATTTGGCACCAAAAAATTGAAAAACTGCAAATTTTATTTGTCAAAATAACACAAGATAATCACATCAGTTTCAATTATTTTGGGAAGTATGTCTGTAACAATACAGACAACAAAAAGATTCAGGAAATGTTTTTTGACAAATAGATTTCTTACTAGGCAGATTAATAGAGAACTTGGAGTAATAATTCCTTTAAACTACAATACAGAACCATATTTCCCGCACCCCTCTGAAGCAATGCAAAGGCTTGAGGGAGTCAGGGGTAACGGAGAAGCTAAGGGAGAGGGAAGTAATTGCTGGGAAGGGACCTGGGTGTGAATGTGGAGGGTTGTTGGGTTTGGGTGGGAGCTCTCTGTCCTGGCGTCACAGCAGCCCCTGGTGGGCAAAAAGTGTAACTGCAGCACATCTCCATCAGAATGTATTTTCTGCAGAGGAAAAAAAAAATTCTGCACGGCCCATAAATTCTGCACATGCACAATGGTGCAGAATTCCCCCAGGAGTAAAGTGCACTTTCAAATTCTCCCTGAGCCATATAGCTCCCTGTTGAGCTCTTCTAATAGCCCTTGTTCAAACTCAGCCGACAGAAGTCCACCTCTGCCCTCCATCCCAGTAGCAATTTCCACCCCCTTTACTTCACAGATATCATGCAGGACATGGCAGGCAGCTACCACCATTGGGAATTCCCGCCCCTCACACACACAGATCTAATCTTGTGAGTAAACATCACCAATGTCCCTTCAATCAATCAAAAAGCACATTCAACTGTCATTCTGCACCTGCTGAGCCGGTAGTTGAATCTCCCCTTGATGCTGTTGAGGTGGCCAGTGGCCACTTCATAAGCCAGGGAAGTAAAGGGTAGGCTGGGTCACCTAGGATCACTATTGGCATTTTAACATCACCAATGGCAATCCACCAGTCAGGAAAGGAAGTCCCTGCTTGTGACTTTATGAACAGTCCTGTGTTCTTAAACCCGTAAGTGTCATGCCCCTTCCGTGAACCAGCCTACACTGATGTCAGTGAAGTGTCCCCAGTGATCCACAGTGCTTGCACAACCATAGAAAAGTAGTCCTTTCTGTTAATGTACTCTGTGGCAAGGTGGTCTAGTGCCAAAACAGATGGCACGCATATATCCCTATGACTCCACCGCAGATCAGGAACTCCATTGCTGCAAAGCCATCCACTATGTCCTGCACATTGCCGAGAGTCACAGTCCTAAGTAGTAGGGGCCCTGCACACTTGCATGACAATAGCCCCACAGTGGATTTTCCAACTGCAAAATAATTAAAACTGGTACAAAAAGCACCAGACACAAAGGGCCCTAAACAACCCCCCCCCCCCCCAAAAAACCCCAAAACTTAAAAACCTTCCCAAAAGCTAAAGCAATTCAAAAATTACAGCAAATTCCCCAAACAACCTGGGCCCAGGGCAGAAACTCCCGTCCACCCCTCCCCCTCCTCTTCTTACGTGACACCCAGGCCTAGCCAGTTTTAGGCTAATGCGTATGTAAGTATAAAAGTGGGTTAGGGCTTGGGGCTCTAATGCTTTCTTTCTTCTCCTAAGTAACATAAAAGCGTTCCCAGCACTCTCTGCTGTATTTTATTATTTTATTAATAAAGCTTTAAAACTTAAACCCTTGGTGTGCTTCGTCATCTCCTCTCTAAAAAAAATCCTATGGCCCAGCCTAATCAACCGTAGCCCAAGCAAATTCATAACAAAAATCTGTCACACTGACACAAGGAGATAAGTATACAACTGAAGTGTCTTTATGCCAACATAACTTGCATTGACCAAAGCTTGTAGTATAGACATGGCCTTATGTACACGTCTACATGCTTCCCAATGCAACACATGGGGATTTGAATCTCTTTGGTGCATCACTTGGGCTTGGCCAACCTGGAGTTACAAGTTTTACTCTTAATAATTTTCCAATATTGCTTCCCCCACAGAGAATGGGTACCATGTACTAGCTGAGATAGATTCTGAGCAGCTGAGTTCAATTTCGGGAGGATCTAAAGTTTGAGCCCCAGGTATGTGCAAAAAAGAGTAGAAGAACAGTGATTTTGTAAACAGTTCACTAAGGGCTTGTCTACACTGGCAACATTAAAGCGCTACCATGGCTTGTGTAGTTGCGGCAATCACCTCCACGAGGGGCGTAGCTCCCAGTGCTGGTGCGCTGTCTATACTAGCACGTAACAGCACTGAAATTTGCAGCACTCAGGGGTGTGTTTTTTCACACCGCTGAGCGAGAAAGTTACAGCACTGTAAAGTGCCAGTGTGGACAAGCCCTAAGAACAGACACTCACATCTCTTTATATGCTTACTAGCAACCTTAACACAGGCAAAAGACTGAATTGGCTGAGAGGAGCAACCTATATATACATAAGCAAATGGAACCCCCTCTCGCCTCTAGAAGAGAAACCCTGCAGGGCAGGACTATCACAGATTGGCAAAGGAGGCTGGACAGCTCTTGCACTGTATGTCACGTTACACGTGAACAGAATAAGTCAATATCCAAGGCTGACAATTCAGCATCTTTCAGCATCACTAACCTCACTTGGAAACACTAAGCCATTCCTTACCTGAAGTCTGCAAGGCTCAGCTGTAGTTTCTTCCGGGCCTTGTTTCTAGTGATGTAGTTTGTGGCAGATCCCCTCTCGTACTTTGGAAAAAACAAGGACAAAGATTCATTAGCAGCACAGAGGACAGAAGTGTCCTTGAATTGGGATCACTGAGCACAAGGAAAACTAATGACTGATTCAGGGACCATGAGGTGAGTAACTCAGCATAGGTATTAAGCAGTTTAATCCACACAGGATTGGAGATACAGAAAAAGATGCTCACCTCCGAATTGGGGATTCTTTAGAGAACAGATCCCTAGGATCTCAGGAATCTATTGATGGCAATAATATTCTATGGATTATTCCTGTGTGCGGGACATGCAGGAGGAACCCACAGCAGCTGAGACAAGAGAGGGATTTACACGAGGTGCCCTGACACCCCAGCTGAGAGCGATTTGTGGGCACCTTAAGAATTGGCAAACAGCTGCCACGAAGCGCACTAATGCAATGGGGGTGGAGGAGTGACACTCCCGTGGCTACCGGGTGCCAGCACGTGCCCTGCGCTGCGCTCCTGCCTGCACAGAAAGGGGCGCACCAGGGACAGCGGGGCAGGCCCGCCCGCCCGGAGACCGGGACCGAGGCGCTGCTGGCACGTTCGGGAGGCGACCGAGTCCAGCCCAGGGCCCCCGCGGGGACACCACGCTCCGCTCGTTCCCTGCGCAGCAGCTTTCTAAGGTAGCACCGGAGAGACGCGAGCTTGGGAACGAGCCCGCGACGGGTCCCAGGCAGCGGGGAGGGGCGAGTCCGAGCAGCAGCCGCCCCGCGTGGCCCGCGCCAGTACCTTCTTCTTCTCCAGGCCGCCCATTGCTCCGGCTCAGCAGCGGCCGCGCTCCCGCCCGCCCGCCGGCTCTTCTGGGTCTGGAGGCGGCTGCTCCCAGCTTCCCCACGTGGAGCGCAACGCACGGCCCGCCGCGCCGCGCCCCGCCGAGGACCCCACGGGCCGGGACTGCCCGATCGCTGCCTGCGCGGACGGCACCATCCGAGCGGCACTGAGCCAGGCCTCCCGCCTCTCTCCGCGGGGAACCTGCAGCGCTGCCGGCCCGGGGTGGGGGGAGCCTCAGGAAGGCAGAGAGGGGCGCCCCGCGCGGCCCCTCAGGCATGAGTCGGCCAGACCCTGGGATCGCAGGGCATGCTGGGATAGGGTTCCGGAGATTGCGCAGAACATGCTGGGACGGGGCCAGGGTGAGCGCGGGGCATGCTGGGAATGGGATGGGCCATTGAAATGAGTTGATGCGGGGCGGTGGGCAGATGCCTTTAGTGGGGCTGTTCAGCTCTTCTGCCCCCCAGCACAATAACCTGTGATGGTTCGAACAAGGGGTGGGGAGCTCAGCTGGGCACCTCGGGAAAGGAATTGGCTTCTAAACATTTTAGAAGTAAGGGCCATTTGCACAGCTCTTAGACCTTTCCTTCCTCATGTAAAGGGGAAAGTTGTTCAGGTAGCACAGTGATCTATATTTTACTTCTCTATTGTTGCTGTAACAGCAGCCAGCAGGATCAGAGAATTGCATGCTTTGATGGCAGACCTGCCACTTACTATTTTTCATAAAGACAAGGTGGTTCTTATACCTGATACCAGGTTTTTACCAAAAATAGTTTCCAAGTTTCTTGTCAATCAGACAGTTAATTTACAAGTGTTTTTTCCAAAGCTGCATGCTAATAAAGGGCCATCTGAGTTGAATACTTTAGATGCTAGAAGGGTATTAACATATTATTTAAATAGACCTAAAGGTTTTAGGAACTCTTCTCTATTATTTTTTCCTATTCTAAGAATCATATGAGTCATGATCATATACTGTTAGGGTTGAAAGAGACCTCAGGAGGTCATCTAGTCCAATCCCCTGCTCAAAGCAGGACCAACACCAACTAAATCATCCCAGCCAGGGCTTTGTCAAGCTGGGCTTTAAAAACCTCTAAGGATGGAGATTCCACCATCTCCCTAGGTAACCCATTCCAGTGCTTCACCACCCTCCTAGTGAAATAGAGTTTCCTAATATCCAACCTAGACCTCCCCCACTGCAACTTGAGACCATTGTTTCTTGTTCTGTCATCTGCCACCACTGAGAACAGCCGAGCTCCATCCTCTTTGGAACCCCCCCTTCAGGTAGTTGAAGGCTGCTATCAAATCCCCCCCTCACTCTTCTCTTCTGCAGACTAAATAACCCCAGTTCCCTCAGCCTCTCCTCGTAAGTCGTGTGCCCCAGCCCCCTAATCATTTTCGTTGCCCTCTGCTGGACTCTGTCCTTCTGAAGTGGGGGGACCAAAACTGGACACAATACTCCAGGCATGGTCTCACCAGTGCCAAATAGCGGGGAATAATCACTTCCCTTGATCTGCTGGCAATGCTCCTACTAATACAGACCAATATGCTGTTGGCCTTCTTGGCAACAAGGGCACACTGCTGACTCATATCCAGCTTCTCATCCACTGTAATCCCCCGATCCTTTTCTGCAGAACTGCCGCTTAGCCGGTCATTCTGCAGCCTGTAGGAGTGCATGGGATTCTTCCTTCCTAAGTGCAGGACTCTGCACTTGTCCTTGTTGAACCTCATCAGATTTCTTTTGGCCCAATCCTCCAATTTGTCTAGGTCACTCTGGACCCTATCCCTACTCTCCAGTGTATCTACCTCTCCCTCCAGCTTAGTGTCATCTGCAAACTTGCTGAGGGTGCAATTCATCCCATCATCCAGATTATAAATAAAGATGTTGAACAAAACCATCCCCAGGACCGACCCCTGGGGCACTCCGCTTGATACCAGCTGCCAACTAGACATCGAGCTGTTGATCACTACCCATTGAGCCTGACAATCTACCCAGCTGTAACGATGCTGGTTCTGGCAGGACCCAACTGAGAGTGCCAGTTCAGGACAGATTGCTAAAACAGGGCAGTTACAGCCCAAGGCTGGAGTTTTTCCACCTCTAAGGCAAACCAAACCAGCCAGACAGTGAAGACTTTGGTCTCACCCCACTGGCTAACCACAAGTCACACAAGCAATTCCCTTAGACACTCCAGTTTCCCAGTATCACCACCAGTGCCACTCGTTATGGGGACAAATGGTTATGAAAACCAATACCTCAATAAAAGAAAAAAGGTCCTCTTAATTCCAAAGGACCAAGCCCCAGACCCAGGTCAATATACAAATCACATCTTACCCCCAAATCACGCTGTTGCCAATCCTTTAGAATCTAAAATCTAAAGGTTTATTCATAAAAGGAAAAAGATATGGATGAGAGCGTCAACAACGGGGTCCGGGCCGCCGGGGGGCCCGGCTCGGCCGCCGCGGAGCTGGGGGGAGGCGGCGGCAGCGCCCTGAAGAAGAAGAAGCGGCTCTCGCAGTCCGACGAGGACGTGATCCGGCTCATCGGGCAGCACGTCCACGGGCTGGGCCTCAACCAGACTGTTGATCTTCTCATGCAAGAGTCAGGATGTCGTTTAGAACATCCTTCTGCTACCAAATTCCGCAATCATGTCATGGAAGGAGAATGGGATAAGGCTGAGAACGACTTGAATGAACTTAAGCCTTTGGTGCATTCTCCTCATGCAATTGTGAGGATGAAGTTCTTGCTGCTACAGCAGAAGTACCTGGAATACCTGGAGGATGGCAAGGTCCTGGAGGCACTTCAAGTTCTACGCTGTGAACTGACACCACTGAAATACAATACGGATCGCATTCATGTCCTCAGTGGGTATCTGATGTGTAGTCATGCAGAAGACTTGCGTGCAAAAGCAGAATGGGAAGGAAAAGGAACAGCTTCCAGATCTAAACTTTTGGACAAACTCCAGACATACCTACCGCCGTCAGTGATGCTTCCCCCAAGGCGTTTACAGAATCTACTACATCAGGCTGTGGAGCTACAACGAGACCGGTGCCTCTATCATAATACCAAACTAGATAACAGTCTAGATTCTGTGTCACTGCTTATAGACCATGTTTGTAGTAGGAAACAGTTCCCATGTTACACACAGCAAATACTTACAGAACACTGTAATGAAGTATGGTTCTGTAAATTCTCTAATGATGGAACTAAACTAGCAACGGGATCAAAGGACACAACTGTTATTATATGGCAGGTTGATTCAGATACGCACCAGTTAAAATTGCTTAAAACATTAGAAGGCCATGCATATGGTGTTTCTTACATTACTTGGAGTCCAGATGACAACTATCTTGTTGCCTGTGGCCCAGATGACTGCTCTGAGCTTTGGCTGTGGAATGTACAAACTGGGGAGCTGAGGACAAAGATGAGTCAATCTCATGAAGACAGTTTAACCAGCGTGGCTTGGAATCCAGATGGGAAACGCTTTGTAACAGGAGGGCAGCGTGGACAGTTCTATCAGTGTGATCTAGATGGTAATCTCCTTGACTCCTGGGAAGGGGTGAGAGTGCAATGCCTCTGGTGTTTGAGCGACGGGAAGACTGTTCTGGCATCGGACACGCATCAGCGAATTCGGGGTTATAACTTTGAGGACCTTACAGACAGGAACATAGTCCAAGAAGATCAGCCTATTATGTCATTTACTATTTCAAAAAATGGCAGATTAGCTTTGTTAAATGTAGCAACTCAGGGAGTTCACTTATGGGACTTGCAAGACAGAGTTTTAGTGAGAATGTATCAAGGTGTTACACAAGGGTTTTACACAATTCACTCGTGTTTTGGAGGCCATAACGAAGACTTCATCGCTAGTGGCAGTGAAGATCACAAAGTGTATATTTGGCACAAACGTAGTGAACTGCCAATCGCGGAGCTGACTGGGCACACGCGTACAGTTAACTGTGTGAGCTGGAACCCGCAGATTCCATCCATGATGGCCAGTGCCTCCGATGATGGCACTGTTAGAATATGGGGACCAGCACCTTTCGTAGACAACCAGGATATTGAAGAGGAATGCAGTAGCATGGATAGTTGATGGCGAATTTGGAGCAGATGACTTCTCTTTAACTTAAAATTAGTCGTATTTTAAATGGCTTGGGATTTGGTGCAAACAACATGATTGATAGCTGGACAGACATGCTCGTCATGAAAAAAGAACCATTTCTGAAGCCCGATCGGGGCCAAACATTTACCACCTTGCTTCATAGAAACCAGTTGAGATGAAGCACGTCGTCAATTAATTTTTTTTCGACCTAGGGGTCACAGTGGACGAGAAGCTGGATATGAGTCAACAGTG